ACTTTTTAAGCTTATGAAATTAACTATGTCATGAATTCCAAAAAATTCACAGCAAGTAATATTCAAAACTGGTTACAGAACTGAGTAACATATCAACAGGAAAATTATTATTTTTACTTCACTGTCACCAAGCCCTATGAATGACCGCTGACAGTGAGGGGGGGAAAAATCATTTGGTTAAAGTAGGAAAATGCCCTGCAACATGCATAAGGGCTGGCCTATCGTTCCAGATCTCTAAATAGCTTCCTCTTCCTATTAAAGAGGACTGATGCCATAGTACAAGCTCTTCCAAGAAACTCTTCGATTCAAGGAGCTACTCATTGAAATCCAGAGTTGGTTTTCAAATACAGTGAATCTCAAGTCAGTGAAAAGACTCCAAAATTACAAGATGGAGTCAGTAAATAGTGTCATGAAATTCAACTCTTCACTTTCAGATTCTGGGTCCAAAATGGCAACACTAGATTCATTAAATTAACCAATATTATTTTTAGTAAAAAAACCAATCTATAATAAGCTTATAAAACAAAATTCAGTGTCACATCTGAAAGCAGTAAAATGAGACCAGGAGGCAAAAAATGTAATTAAAGTATATGAAGAGAGTTCCATTTCTGGCCAAGATGGAATAACAAGGATGAAATTTACCCTTATGTTTGAAACAAGTTGGAGGAAAGAAGACAAAATACATGAAAATTTTAAGACACTGAACATCAGGCAACAAAAGACAGTGATCCCTGATAGACAGGAAACGAAAGAGGTAAACTTTACAACAGCCCCAGCTTATTACCTTGAAAGAGTTTCCAGGCTGCAGAAAAGGGACTTGGAACCCAAGCAGGGTATGGCAGTCTTCCTGAGTTAAGGAGATGGAACTGAGTCTAGAGACGGTAAAGGGGCTGAATACACAGGAGTGAGTACTTAAGAGGACAAAGCTGCACAGATCCACAGATCTGTAGGAGGTATTCCTCCAGCGTTCAGCTGACTAAAAGCAGTCCTTGGGTTATATTCCTAAGTGAGTCTTTAAGTTGAAGCTTTAGTTAAATCAAAACAGGTGCATATGGTTCTTGTTTAGCCTTACTTTAGTGCAAGAAAAGGCTTGAAGCCTTTTTAATGATTTAAAAAGCTGAATGTATAGCAAAAGGTGACTGTGATGCTAGAATTTGTGCCAGTAGGGACTTGGTTCAATCACTTCAAAATGATGGCAAATTTACATAACATTAAAAGGCGTGTACAAGTTGTCCACAGGTTGGACATTCCTAAGTCAGAGACTACTTGAATTTATAAATACACACTATGAGGAAACTACGCAAGGATGGGGGGAAAAAATCTATCCAAAGAATTAGAGGGAACACACATGGGTTCTCTAGAGAAACAAAAACCAGTAAAGCTTATATATATGTATATATGGAGAGAAATTTATCTTAGGAAAATGGCTCACACACTTAAAGAAGCTGGCAAGTCCAAAGTTCCTGGATCAAACGTCAAGCTGGAGGCTTTTTCTGGCTCCCGCAACCGCAGGGGCTGAGGAGCTCAAGGCTGGCAGGCAGTGCACCAGCTGTTGACTCCAACGAATGATGAATCCAAGATCTTCAGGCCGAATGGTGGACTGTTCACTCACAGATAGTTGTAGGCAGCACAACAGAATCCCAATCCACAGAAGAATGTCTCTCTTCCCAGGATGTCCTTAGATATACTGGAAACAGGCCACACCCCTAGGGAAACTCCCCTTCAACAGATTGGCCACTCATAACATAGTCATCTGATCCCATAATGGGAACAACCACACCACAATAGTTCAAACCACACAGAATTGTGGTCCAGCCAAGTTGACACACAGCTCCAACTATCACAACACAGCACATACAGGGACCAGCAATACTTCCCATTCCCACCATCCAGAGTACTAAGAACAGCTGTGCCTCAAAAAGGGTACAAAATTAGCACCAAACTAAATGCTGCCCTAGCACTCCTTAAGAAAAATTAAAAGCAACATCCAAAACGATTACCCAACAACAAGGTAAAATTCCTAATGTCAGGCATACAAGGCAGGAAAAAACAATCCATTATTAGAGGAAAAGTCAATTAAAACTGACCCAGAAAGATAGAATTAAGCCACTTTTTATGACTGTATTCTATACATTCAAGAAGCTAGACGATAGTAGACAGAATATGGAAGATAAGGACATGGGAAAATATTTAAAAAAGCCCAGATTTCTAGAGATGAAACTATAATGTCAGAATGAAAAATATACTGGATAAAATTAATAAGAGATTTAACACTGCGGAAGAAACGATTTAAAAACCTTTGATCTATAGCAATAGACTATTCAAAATGAAGGAACTCTGGTAATACAGCAGTTAAAGTGCTTGGCTGCCTACCAAAAGGTTGGCAGCTTGAACCCAGTTCAAACCCAACAGCCACTGCATGAGAGAACAATGTGGCAGTTTGCTTCTGCAAAGATTTACAGCTTTAGAAACCTATGGGGCAGTGCTACCGTATCCTACAGAGTCAACATGAATCAGAATTGATTCTATGGCAGTGGGTTTGGTATTATTTATTCATTTGGTTTATCAAATACAAAACAGAGAAAAAATATTTGGGGAAAAAATTGATTTGAGTTTTAAGACAACATAACCAGCCTAATATACATTGAAATGAACTTCCAAGATGGAGGACAGGCAAAAATATTTGAAGAAATAATGGCCAAAATATTTCCACATTTGATGAAAACCACAAACCCACAGATCAAAGAAGTTCAATGAACTCCAAGCATAAGAAATATAAGGAAAATATATACACAAGTTCATTTATAAAGGATTCTAACAAATTCTATAACCAAATATAATCTAGAAATTACTTAAGACTAAAGCTAAACTTTAGGTTAACTTACTAGGTACAGCATTGAAACTAACACTTCAGGAGAGTACATTAAATCAAACATTAGTTAATTAATGTTAAACACTGAAGTGCTTAACAAAAATCCTAACGATTTAAAAATGAGCAAAACATGATTTTTAAAACAATGTATATTTTCTTACGCTAACCCTTAATAATTCATTATATTTGTTCTTATTTTAACAAATTAATTTTTAAAAAAAGCAGAAATGCACTTCTTTTCCTTAATTTTCTTTTCCTTTAATTTATATAGGTCATTCAGAATAGAACTAGGACACTGAAAAACTTTTAAAGAAACTGAGAGGTGGAACTGAAAACACAGAAGCAGATTTGAGGTTTAGAAAAGTTAGTGTTCCCCTCCCCCCCCAAAGAAAACAACCTGGCAACCACTATTTCAAAATACACATTTTTTTAAAGTATAAAACTGTATTCAAAATGAAAAAATGCCTGTTTTTAGCACCTCAGGTACATAGTCACTCAAAAAATATCTAAGTATTTTTTGAAAACAGAATCATTCAAAGAAAAAACATTGAAGTAGAAAACTAATCTGTTTTTGTAAATACATCTATTTTTTAGAGTTCAGCCACAAATTCAAAAATTTCTGTCCAAAAACAAGCAAGTGAAGAGATATAGAGGAACAAGTTCTAAGTCTCTACTGTAATGGCTACCCTTCCTGTCATGTGTTTTCCCTAAAATAGAAGTCAATTTAGTTTTTCTACCATTTTGCTTAGGAAATAGTGGGATATTTCAAAGACAAAAAAATAGTTCTATGAGAGAGCTGCCAAAAATATATTCACTATCTATGGAAATAATTCATTTCTACATTCCTTTGTGCTTTTTTCTTAAGGAAAAATAAAAACATACACATATTTAGATAACATACATTTCTTTGAATGCCTATTTAAAAAAAAAAAAACACTTTGGGGTAATGTTCAATAGTGTAATACTTCCGTATAGGGTCAACATACATATGAAAAATAGCACACAAATCTCATTAACCCCAGAGAATGAGAAGTTAACACTGGAGTCATTACTATGGATTTGACTTCTTCCATCTTTTAAACAGAAAACTCTAAACAAAAAAATAATTTCCAATAAAATACAAAATTGAAACTGTATATGTGAAATTATTAGAACAAAGCAGTACTTATTCTCTAGCAATGTTAAAAATAATGCACTAAATTCCTACTTAGAGAGAAGACTCATTGAAATCAAAACTTCCGAATGACTCTTGTAAATCCCATTCTATTAAAGAGAAATAAGCCTACATATATACATTATTTTGCACAATTGTAATATGAAGAATTTGATAACTACATTTAAGTACTTAGAATGCACGTATGCTCCAATATCTGTAATAATAAAAATGGAATAGTTTTTATTTCACTGATTCAGTTACTAATATGATTTCAATATTCAATTCCCTGGTCAAAAATACACAAATCTAATAATATAAAGACAAAGATATGCCTATTCTAGTTATCAAGGCTTCAGTTACCCGCATTTTAAAACCTCCAATACTTTAAAATGATCTCCCAAAATATTAAGCAATTTAACAATTCCCCATCTAATCAGACTTCAGTTATTATTATAGGCATTTAAATTACCTGCTATTTCAACAATCCTCCTTGCCAAACAGAACTATTGTTTGAAATTCTTTCTTCTGAAATCTGTTATTACTTCATCAGTTTTCAAATTTGAGCCATTTATTTTTAGACACAAAGGTTAATAAGAAAATATTTCTGAATCAAATGCACATAACTTCATAGTAAAATCTCCCCTCTTTAGAAACTAGATTCATATTCTTGCTCTCTCATTTTGCCAAATTACCAAAGAGGACACACTATGGTTTGGATTTCAGCACTTAGGACGATAAGTGACAATGTGTGATTCACAGAATGAAAAATTAAAGTTTCTTAATTTTAAAAATTAGTGGGTTGCAATAAACGTGCTAGACATACTCCTTTCAAGATCCAATTCTTGAAGCACCCGGACTTTTCTTGCCAATAAACCAAATGAGGGGTTTAAAAAATAAAGCCTCTAAATTCACAGTATGCTTCCCCCCCAAAAAAAAGAAAACAAGTCTAGAAAAGAAGAAAAGCACACTTACATTTGGAGCATAACCTGGTTCAGGAATACCCCATCCACCAAAGCCACATATTCATCCAGGTTGGTCCCATTTCCTGCAGCCAGAGGTCCAAACGTTTTAACCTAGAACAGAAAGATCATCACCACGGCACGAACGCCCACCTCCATCTCTACAGCCACAAATAATGCAGCAAAGTATACAAAAAAGGACAATCCACTTACCCAAGTAACCAAGGGACTGGTCATGAACTGCTCCAGAAGGGGAGTAAAAATCTCGTTCTCCATTTTACAGATTATGTATGTGAAAAGAAAAAAGGAACTACCACAAAAATACGCTTAAGGAATTGGTCACTAAACGTTGAAGTAAGTAAAAATCAATAGAAGTCCATTTTCGTAAGGGAGGACTATCCCATCGTGGAGGGGGAAAAAACTCTCCCTCCTCAAAAAACACCTAAGAGGGAAAAGAACCAAAATCCCGAGAAGTGGCTTCAACAGCCGCCAAGAGCGGCAGCCTGCGCTGGAAATGTCTTTACCAGGCGAGGAGGGGCAGAGAAAAGGCATCTGGAGGAGGAGGAAGGGAAAGGGGGCTGGAGCAGCAAGACAAAAAGCCCGTCAAGGTTGTCCAGCTCCTGTAGGAGCAAGATCAACGAAACTACCTATGAATTAATCTCAACGTGGGCTAAATAAAATAGCACGTTAGATACTACGTTAAAGATTCCAAGTGGTGGCCAGGCTCGACCTCAGCGTTCCGCTCAGCACGTTCCACACACCACTGAGCATGGAGCCGCTAGACCTACGGAACCTCCCCTATCCGCAGCCCCTCACCACCGACAGGCACCGCTCGCCCCTCTCCCCCAGGCAGACACCATCCCTCCACCGTTCTCCCACCGCCCTCAAACCTAGCCTCCAGCCCCCTTCCCCTCCCGGGGGGTGGGGGCCTGAAAGTGTGTCCCTAATCCCCCAGCTTCCTAAACCCCGCCAGCCTTTTCAGTCCGTCTCTGGGAAGCTCTGGCATAAAAATCACCGCTGCGCTCCAGCCTCCGCCTCCACCCTCTCTAGAGGAGAGGGACTAACGGCCACAGAACCGCAGTGCCGCATCACACACCAACCCTCGCCGCCCAACCACTGCCGCTAGTCTTTCGTCAAAGGGAGCGCTCTGATTCCCTCCGCGCCGATATCCTTCCGCCGACTCCCCGCCCTTCGCGCGCCGCTGCCTCTGGATTGTGGGAGAAGAAAACCGCTGCATGAGCGCGCTCCCGAGCGAGCGCGCCCTTGGACTGGCCTCGCCGCCGCCCAGATGCCGGCGGCGGGCGCGCTCTTGCTGCAGCTGCTGGGGTTGCCGGCGCCTCGTTCGCGCCCAGTACGGTTGCCAGGGCTTGGGGGGCGGGGTAGGGAAGCCAGAGGATGGGATCTGTCTGTTTGCTCACTTCTCTTGCATAATTACGTTTTATTTCCTCTCCCAGTGCCTTTGATGTGTGAAGGAAATGAAACGAAATCCTCTTTTTAACGGGAGAGATGCAAACAGCCTTTTCGGACACTTTGATTTGATCTGTTAAGCGAGCTTTCGACAGCAAAATGGAATAGGAAAACTCACTGCAGCAAATGGCAAAGACATTTGAACCACAAACTTTGTTCTCTTTTCATTCTTTCTTTTTCTAAAACTAGTACACTAAAGCATGAATATTCTTCAAAGTTGCAAGTAAAATGTATTAGGATTTTAAATAACTACAAGGGTCTTTCAACATGTTGGTATTCGCTGACTGAAGCAAAAGCGATTCAGACATTGTTGTTTGACTATTTGGTCATTGAGAAAAAAAAAGAAAAAAGAAAATCCTAATAAATCAAGAGCTACTGAGAGGAGATATTTGGAAGTCATTCGAGTTGGGTGACAAACATTACATATTTAGTCATAAATCCTTATGCCGTGCACGATTTAAAGAGTTCTCCAGCATTACTTCTCATTTTCAGGGAAAATAAAGATCTTAATAGACGATTTTTTAAAAAAAGAAAAGAAGTGTAGTACAGTTTTGAAATGCCTGCTGTGTTTGCATTTATATAAATACCTGCTTTGAGATAAGCCCACTGCCCTAGAATGGACTCATAGTGACTCTACACCACAGACCAGAACTATGCCAAGGCTGTAAATCTTTACAGAAGCAGAGTGCCACATCTTTTTCCCACCCAGTGGCTGGTGGGTTGCGAACCACATACCTTTTGCTTAGTAGCCCAGCTCTTCAACCACTGTACCACCAAGGCTCCTCTTACTTAGAGATACTTACATATTTTAAATTGGCAGTAAAATCTTCTTGTCATAATACTGAAGTAAGAAACACCACCATTGCTTAATTAGGTAATTGAGGGCCTGGGCTCTGGAGTCTGTCTAGTTCAAATCCAAATACTTACCAGCTGTGTGAGCAAGTTATTGAGCCTCTCTATGCCTCACTTTATTCACCTGTAAAGTGGGAAAATGAAATGGCAGCCTACAGTAGTTGTTCTATATATGTTATTGATGTTATTTTCATCCTTATTACCCCCAGATGAAAGGAAAAAAAAAAAAAAAACGTTATACCCAAGACCATGTATAGGGTTGGCAGACAATGGTTCTACAAGTGTATTTGTATGTTCTGTAAGAATTCCCAGGTGTATAGTAGAGCTGACAAGGGAGAAGTTTGTAGTCACTTCTTGGGCACAGCCAGCTACCCAGAGGGAGGGAGTAGTTGGACCTGTAGGCTCAGGACCATGGTTGCAGGGGACATCAAGCTCAATTGGCATAACATACCACACAAAGCATTGTTCCACCTCCTACTTTGGGGAGTAGCAACCGGGATCTTAAAAACTTGCAAGCAGCCGCCTAAATGCAACAATGGGTCTCTCCTCATCCAGAGCAAAGAAGAATGAAGAAAACCAAAGATTCATGGAAACAATTAGCCCAAGTGACTGGTACACCATGTGATCCTCAGCCTATACGACTATGAGACCAGAAGAACTAGACGGTGCCCAGCTACCACTGTCAACCACTTGGAGGGGGATCTATGTAGGAGATCCTGGACAGAGAGAGAGAACAATGTGGAACAAAACTCAAAATCATTTGGGAAAAAAAAGGGGGTGGGGACCAGGTTTGCTGGTCTGACAGCCTGGTGGAACCACTGAAACTATGGCCCCTAGCTGCCCTTCAGATCTGGAATTGGAATTGAACCCACACCTGTGGCTTCCAGCCAAATAAAAGACAGGCATATGAGTTGAACATTTACCCAAGGTGGATGATACACTCCTTGGAGAGAACAATCATGGGAGAAAGAAGGGCTGTTTATGCACAGGGAGACAGCTCAGGGGGCAGGAGTACATGGAGGGATGGACACAGGGTAGAGGTAACTATGGGGAGGAAGTGGGAAGGGAGCTGTTGCATTGGGGTAAATAGTAGTCAATGTCATGAGACAAAGTATATGTGAACTGCTGTATGGAAAGTGACTTTGCTCTGTAAATTTTCACCCAAATTACAATTTAAAAAAAAAAACTTTAGGAAAAAACTGGAAATGTAACCTCTCCCACTTCACTTCAGTTGCAGGAGAAAGGATCTTGCTTTGGGGAATAGAGTAATACATTCTTTCCAGAATCATCATAATTAAAATAAATTTGCACTTTGCTATGTGATGTCAGAGTTACATTGCCTTGTCCTGTTCACAAGCCTCACGGTCATCCTGGTTGCTAACAACTCTTTTCTTTCTGCTCTTGATGACTCTTTCTTAATCATTCCATTATTTTGTGAATGAAGTATCAGAAGGAGAGCAGGAAGCAAGAAGAAAGCACTGCTTTTAAGAGCAGCTCAATGCCTGCCACATCCACTTTCCATTGTGCTCCCTCAAGAAATTTGGCATAAACAACAATGGTTCGTGCCTACAGTGTGATTTATACTAACACAGGCCAACCTGTTTCATTCATAGATTTTAAAAACCTGTAAAGTGGACCAAGTGCAACAGGTTAAGGACATTTTGGATAGTGGTTTCTAAATGGTTAACGCAGGAGTTGTACACTTAGCATCAATTATCCAGTTTACATTTCATACTCAGCCCTTACAAAAATCTGGATTCCCCTCTAGAGCCAGATGGCCCCAGATTCTTCCTGGTCTTTAGGTTTTACACACACACACACACATACACACACAACAAAGAAACATGAGGAGTTAATTGTAAAAACAGGAAGCTTTAGACCAGACTGAAGTCTGGAGGAACTTACACAAAAACCTACCAATTCACAATTCTCCGGTTTAACAACAGTCTTAGAAATCCTTTATAATATCTGAGAAGTAAAATTGAAAGTTCTCTGTCTTGCAAAAGAGGGATTGTACGTTACACATAATTTAATGATCTTTAAATTGCAACTTCATGTAATATTAAATCCAAAAGTTGTCTATCGTCCTTTCACTCGGGAAGAGATTTCATTAAGATAATTTTGTTTTGTACTTTGTAGTCGTTTATTTGTGCTGAATTCATCCTTTCTTAGAATGTTAAATCCAACAGAGAAAGATTAATGGAAAAATCATACCATCTGTTGTATTGTTATTATGTGCCATCAAGTTGGACCCGACTCATAGCGACCCCTCCTTGGGTTTGCAAGGCAGTATCACTACGGAAGTAGATTGCCCAACCGTCCTTCCAAGGAGGGGTCGGTGGGTTTGAACCACCAGCCTTCTGGTTACCAGTCAAGTGCCTTAGATACTATGCTACTAGAGCTCCTACCCATATAGCTGGGTCTAAGTTATTTGCTCAGCTCTTTTCTAATCACAAGCTAAATGGTTGGAAAGGATCATGGTCCCCATTAGGCATCACTAGAGAGAGATTCTCCCTGTGTGTTTTAGTTGAGGCTTCCTTCTACCTCGTAGATGGTACTAAATGTATGCCCAAAACACCTGTGTCTACAACTGTCTAGATCCACATTGTAGGAGGTGACAGACTTGCTCTAAACCAGCCTCCACAGTGAATACAAGTTTCCAAAGTTAATCATTCTCATAAACCAGCACAACAAAAGCAGCATAAATACAGCAGCATAATGGCACCACTGTTCATAATAGCCAAAAAGTGGAAACAACCCAAATTTCCAACAACTGATAAATAAATAAATAAACATAGAATCCTTCAAGGATTTAAACTTATTAAAATTAAACAGTGACAACAACAACAAAAAGAATGGTACTATTTACTGATGAAGATTTAAAAAGAGATACTATCAAGAAATTCAATCTCTTCTAGACACTTCACAAGAGCCTATAAGTCCTCTTGTTCTAATGAGTAAGATTTCAAAGTCACCTAAAACCATAGGCCACCACCGTCTGTCAGTTTGTCTTACTGTGGTGGCTTGCGTGTTGCTGTGAGGCTGGAGGCTATGCCATCGGTATTTCAAATACCAGCAGGGTTACCCATGGTGGACAGGTTTCAGCAGGGCTTCCAGGCTAAGGAACATAGGAACTTTGGTGGTGTAGTTGATAAGGCATTTGGTGGCTAATCAGCTCCTAATCGGAAAGTCAGCAGTTCAAACCCACCAGCTACTCTGGGAAAGGAAGACTGGGCAATTTACTTCCGTAAAGATTTACCAACCGGGAAACCCAAAGGAGGTCACTATGACTCGATAGCAGTGAGCTTGGTTTGTTTTTTCATAATACAGGTTGAGAGAGAGAAAGATCAAAAGTGGGCAAGTTACTTAACTTGTTTGAACATCAATTTCTTCAGCTATAAAATGGATGTGTTGATATTTTCCTCACTATATCCCACTATTATGGTGATGGTTAAATGAAAAAGCACCTGAAACTCAACTATGTGAGTTTTCTTTTCTATTAATGCTATGAAAAATAACTGTCAGAGGTTTGAAGTAAAATTCCTAAGGTCTACAAGAGTATTTTCATACAACACTCTTACACTAAGTCCAATCTTGTGTTTTGCTTTCATTATCAGTGTATGTTATAGATTGATCCGTGTTCCCCCGGAAATAAAGTCCTGATCCCCAAGACTTGTGTCTGTGACCTGACTTGGAAATAGCATCTTTGCAAATATAATTAGTTAAGTTCACATGAGGTTATACTAGAGTACCAGTAACCACATGCCATCAAATTGATGCTGACTCATGTTGACCTCGGAAGCT